AACAGGAACGGTGCTGGCAGCATTTGTTAACAAAGCCAAAACAGGTAATTACAGGGTGATGTTTAATAGCAGCTATGAACCTTGTGCCCCATTTCCAAAATCAATAGAGGCATGGACAATCCTTAGGGCACTTTGGGCTTCTCAATCTCCCAGGCTCTTCTGGAAGGGATTACAGCATCTAGCACTGGCTCTCGAAATTTTGCAGAATGTTCCCATCTTTCAGGAGGATTTGGCATGACACAGCCCAGGAGACAGGGAGTGTTACAAGCCCCTTATCCACAGCCAGAGTTTTACATTTCATGCTTGGCCTGGCACCAGGTTTTCAGCTGCCCAAAGGAGCTGATCCCCTGGAGATCCTACCCTAGACCCAAACCATGTGAGGAGGTGACCCAGCTGCCTGGGAGCAGGTGGGAAAACATGAGTGAGGGGAGCTGGTGTGGGGCTGCAAAAGGCAGCCTCAAGTGTGGGAGAGCTTAAAAAATGTGCTGGGAACAAGCTGTCCATGGGGGTGGGAGGGTTAATCACACAACAGCCCCCATGAGGGCCTGTCTCACAAAAAGCTGTCTTTCACAGGAAGGAAAAAGGAGAAAACAGCTGCTAAAGAGAGAGAAAAGATGCTGCAATGTTAGAGAACTCCTCTGGGCTTGCAATAAGACACTGGAGCAAGTTTGTTCTTGAATGTGTCTGAAATGCCTCCAAAGCAAACATGCTCTTTTGAAGAAGGATGTTTTTATATGTAGCTTTAAAGAGATTAGTTGCCAATAGAAGAGCACAGCAGAAGAAAACATTGAAAACAACTGGAGATTGTACTAGTGGTTATCACACTGAGCAATCAATATTAGAGTTAATGTTGTCACACATTAATTTAAATATCAGAAGCCCAAATGAACTAAGGAAACCCACATAAGAACAATGAAATCATTCACCTGCATCCAATCAACTTAGTGGAGGAGTTTTCTCCTGTCCTGCATCTGCAGCCTCTTGTACGAGTGACATGTGAGTTTGCATCAGAATTTCAGATGGAAAACCCAGAAAATTGTTCAGATCAAGTTGGATTTGGCTCCATGACTACAAACAGCAAATGCAAATCCTGTTACATGGTGCACACTCACAGCGGGATAGAGATAAAGCAAGGGAGATGCTGGGACATTCAGTAAAGAAACCACCACAAAATTTGGCTTGCCTTTCATCAGATGCCCAGAAGGAGAGAGGCTGAAAGGCTGTGCTTACTCATTACTGCTCCCCCTGTTTATTTTCTCTCCAGAATATGCCAAAATATTTATCCACCTGCTGTGTTTTAACACTGCACTGGAAAGGGACTGGAAATACTTTGCAGATCTTTTGCAAGTTTGGTTTGTATGAAAAAAGGGAAAAAAAAAGTAAGTTGAGGATCTGTGTAGCTGGGTAAACTTCCACTTGAAGCTCTCAAGTGCTGTTAGGCAAAACAGCAGGATTTTATTAAAGCAGAGATGTGCCTGTTGCCATACATTACTGTGTTCTGCTCTGGATGCTCACAGATGCAGACACTGAGGCTACAGGAGGTTTATCAGGGGTCCAGCCTGATCCATGTTGCTGGGCACCCAACAGCCCTTGAAAACCAACCAACCAACCAAAAAACCCCAAATACCACATCTGACTTTTCACAGGCAAACCAGGTTCATCCAGCTCCACCTAATTAACCCAAACCCTTTAAATCTGACAGAAAACCCACTGGCCTAAAATCACAGACTTTGAGAGACAAAGACAACTGGCTTTTAAAGGTTAATTTCTAGGCACACTGGAAGATGCTTTATATGTACAGCTCGGTTGGCTCCATTATTAAATTAGCAGGTTACAAAGCTGGTACACCATGCTCTGCACTGGGACATTAAGCTGAGGGAATTTTCCTCTCAACACTGGCATCTCATTATTTGCTTCTGTTGATTATTCAGATTGCATTAGATGTCAAGGCTTGCTAGATTCAAAGACCTCACTGAGACGAAGGCAGTTCTATCCATCACAGACAGCGCCGAGGAAATGAGTACAAAAGCTTCACCATCCCTCAGGATAACAAGTGATGCAAAATGTACCACACCATGCCTTATTTAAAAGTCTTTTGAAATGTCTAACAGCGTGGATTCAATAGGGGGAGGTGCAGAGGAGGGGGAAATCCATCCAGTTTCAAGAGGCTCTACAGACAGAGCTCAGTGAATTGTGCTGTGTTTTGGTCCTCACGTCTACAATTCATACCTAGCTCACCTCTGCAGCACAGATTCCAACCCTGAAAAGTGGGAGACGTCTCTAAAACAGAGGAACAAGCTAATTAAGAGATTACACTTCCATCTCCTCCTCTAAAAAGAGTGCTTGTTGCAGAAACAGGTCCAGCTCCCCCCTGCCCTGGCAGCTTGAAATATCCTCTCTGGACAAATAACAGCTGCACCTGAAGGTAAAGCAGCCCTGTGCTGTGTGGCTCCAAGGCAGCCTTGTCCTTCCTGCCTGAGGTTCCCTACCAGGAGCACCTCAGGGCCCCATCCCCTTCTGCTGCTCCCTCCTGCCTGCCCTGGGCACAGGGGGACTCTCCAAATCAGACATTTGATCCCACACCCTCACTCAGGCACAAACAATGCAAAAGAGCCTGCACAGCCAGAAAGTTGAATTTGCTTTGGTTTAATACAAAAAAAAAAAAAAAAAAAAAAAAGGGCTGGATCCAAGATCAAAGTCTCTGACATTCAGCTGCTTTTAGCACAGAAATCACATGAGATATTCACTTAGTAGGAGGAAAGAAGGTTAAAATGGTTAGTTGAGGGATCTACTCTGATTTGGCACCATGATATTGGTTTCTATCAAAGTGCCACTTTCTGTTTGGCTTTTGCTTGCTCACACACCTCAGCCCTTTGGAGAGTGAGTGCCAGCCTAAGCACTGGGGCAACTGAACTATCATGGGAGGAAACTCTCCTTGTGTCCCCAGAGCATCCTCTTGGTGCTCCCAGGGGACATGAACATACAGGTGGGATGGGAAAATTATTCCCAGGGTAATTCTCTGCCTCCCTTCTGTACCAGAATTACTGCAGACATCACTGCCATCACATATCAGTGCAGTGGGACTGAGCAGTGCTGGTGGTGCAGCTGCAGGACTTCCCAACCTGAAATCACAACTTCAGCTCGGAGGATAGCAGCTCTGTCAAATGAGAGAGGGAAAATCCCTCTGCCCTGCACAAGTCCTGGGCTCACTGAATGACTTTTCTTCTTTAATAGCTACCTTCTGCATTCAGAGCATCCTCATTCTTTTGCCTTCTCCCTAAATACTGGACACTGTCTCAAGCTCCCTGCACACTCTCTAGAAAACAAGTACAAAGCACTTTTCCCCTTCTAGGATGATACACTGTATAAAACTACATAAAGGCACATTAATCACAGAGCTCACATTCATTTATTCATGCCATTACAGATCAGAAGTATTCTTTGGTTTTAAAGGTTTCTTGAACAAATGAAGTTTGAAAAGCCAAAAGAGAAAAACAAAGAAGAAAATGGAAATAAAAAAAATACATCAAAATACTAAACATGGGAGAATATCGAACCAATACTCTCATGGATTTCTTGCCAAAATCACTTGAAAGACTTTCACAGCTGAAATTGGGACAGAATAAAAGGATAAAAGGACTGAAAATACTAAAAGAATATGCTGAACAATTTAAGAAAAAGGTGAACAGAAGGTCTGACTGAAGAAACTTAACTGTGATCCTAAGGCATTTCCACTACCCATGAGAACACAAGCTCTTCTCAGGAGCTGGAGTTACCCTTCCTCCCCTGCCAGCACCAGGACAAAGGTCCTGTTTGGGACATTACTCTCAGCATTTACCACCCCAAATCATAACCCCATGCTCTGAGGAACAGCACCTTCTGCAGAGGTCTAAGAGCAGGGAAATGGATAAGTGTGGTGATAAATTAAAACAAACAAATATAGATCAGCTCAGATTTGGGCTCAGGAGACCATCAGCAACCCCTTCCCAAGGAGCAGGTAGGGATGAGGACTGTAAAAGTGGAGAGGTGTGGACAGGGCCAGCACTGGGTCTGGACCATCTGTTGGAAAAGGCTCCTTATGTCCAGCTCAGCCTGCTTTGGAGGCAACTCAACACCAAGTTTTGGCTCAAGAGCACTAAAGAGAAGAAACAGATGTGGGTTTTGGAGCAAACAGCAGGAATAGCCAAGAATGTGCAGTGAAACACAAGAGATTCCTGCTGTCCTTACCGAGAGCTTAACGAGCCCAAGGGCTCTGAACATCTCTTGTGGGAAGATATTATCCACAGGAACAGCGATCGCTCGCAAAATCCAATTAGGCCTTGCCTACATCAAAATGTCAAAGGGAAATAAAGGTGTCTGGTCCAAATTTGTCAAGTGCCTCCCAGCATTTCCGCAACAGATGGTGTGGTTCTTGACAGAACTATGATGTGTTAAGTCAAGATCGATCTGCAAACTGCGGATGATGAAGACGTGATTAAGGAAATAAGAATCACTCTTGGAGACAGTGGTCTTAATCAATTAGTTTCCATTCCTTGAATGCTTAACGGTGTAAAGTCTGTTCTGCAGGCCATTTGCAAGGACACCTGTCTTACCAGTAGCTTCCTGTAGCAACCAGAAAACACAGTAACTGATAAAGCAAAAAGGTGAAGGCAAGTTTCTAAAACACTTGTTCAAATTTGAAGTTGGCTATTATTTTATAGTAAATCTCTTCTGTCTGTTTGTGGTGATGAGGGAGCCAGATGTTTAATTAGTTTTAACAAAAAATTCCATTAAAATTTTTCTTGCTTCTACTGAACTAGATTTATAACCTGTGTAGACAGAGACAATTGAAAATCCAAAGAAAAATATTCTATGGGGAATCCAAGAAAATCTGCATCTCAGAACATTTTCTCCTGTACTTGGGGACCTTCAAGGTCTGTAGACTCAGATAGAAAGACCACACACATTTTTCAGCTGTCACCATCACTTACTCATTTAACAAAGGAAAAAGAAAAGCCTAATTACTCATGGGTCCATTTTTAATTTGCAGGGTTGGCAATGTTTAAGGGGAAAAAAAACGAAGAAAAAACACAAAGATGAATTATCCCTTCACTTAGAGCAGTAAGAAGATAGGGGTGTTTCCAGGCAGGCAGCTCCAGCGGGGAGTGCTCAGGAAGCTTTAGAACCCAGAGCTCCATTCCAGCCAACTACCAGCATCACCCCTCTGCAGTTTTTGTTTGCATGCTTTTAAGTAATATTTTGCTCAGGGACTTGTTTCTGTGTTACTCTGCCCAATTTCATCGAGGCAGTTTTTATCCCCACCCTCCTCAGGCACAAATCCCCCAGAATCCTCCTTTCAGCAGGTCCAGCAAGCAGAAACTCTTTTTCTGTAAAAAAAAATAAAAAAAAATTTAAAAAAATAATCCAAGTTAGACTAAGGCCACTATTTTTTTATTTAAAATAAGAAGTGTCCTTTAGTCTTCCCAGCTGTCACAGGAAAACCCTCCACATGCAGACAAATTGTTGTGCACAAATAACTACAAGCAGTTCCAAGCTAGCATTTTGCAATCATATGTTCTACTATTATTCTGTTAAGCACAGAAAGACTGACAGTCATGGTTATTTTGGCTCTTCAACCCTCTGAGTGCCCCTCAGGTACTGCTGTGACTGAGCACAGATCCATTCCCTGGAGGCTGCTAACATCATTTTCTACTTGTTGCAATTTTCTTTCCTCTTCTCCTAATTAACACTGTTGTAAAACTGGTTGCTCTCCCTTAACCTAACCAGTTTCAACATATGCAACAACATTGACAAACTCCTCGATTAATTATTTAAAAATACCGATACAAACATGTTTTGGGGCATTGTAAAACCACCTCAGTGTAAACTGGACTTCAATATAAAGCAGATCCCTGTCTGAGCTGAAAGGACTTAGTTTTGGTCACAGAAAAAGCCTGTAAGCACAATAAGACTGGTCTTTTTCAGGCTGTATTCTCGTGCTTTCCAGGATGAAAGGAAAAAATAAAATTGCAAGCACGTTTCTTTCAGGTCAGATTTCAGCCTTATACAAAACTGAAATCTTTGTCTTAAATAACAGTACCCTCCTTGCCATTGTGAGGGTCAAACTACATTAGCCAAGAACATTTCTTAAACTGCTGTTAAAAAAATTAGGTTTTTCTAGTAAACACAATCCCATGTCTAGACGGAGCCTGAAAGGAATCTACTAAAACCATCCAAAGAAAAATTGTAGAAACAGCATATTCTCCTTCCTGCAAGAATTTTTTTTCCCCAGAGCTAAAGTATCTCCACAGACTCAGCCCCAGCCCTTTCTCAGGGGGTTCAGATATATCTAAGGGGAGATTTGGGCCTCTCTCAGTGGGGTCAGGAGAGTTGTTCCAACACCTGACACCTTGGTCAATACTTGGATCTATAGAGGCTGCATCCCTGTCCCTCACCAGCAAATTCCCTCCTGGGCACCAGGGAGAGCCTTTGGAGCATCACGGCTCATGAGGAGCAAGATGTGTGAGTCAAACACAGGCAGGAGCAAACCCCAGCAGAAAGGGGACTTCATGAAGGTCTTTACATTTCCCTCAGGACCAGATTCCCCTGTTCCTCAGAATGGGGAGAATATGGGAGAGGGAGCTACAGCCCCAGGGCTCAGCTCCTGCCCCTGGATCCATCCCACCCCTGTGGCTGGCCTGACCCAGCAAACCTCCACTGTCATCTCAAGGCCATTCCCCACTCAGAAAAAGCTCAGACAGCTTAGATTATCCTCCTCCCTTCCTAAAATTTGTCTTGTACTTGTGCCCAGGGCAGGAACAGTTTAGATAGCATAAATAGAAATAAATGATAACTATAAAGCAAATAACAGCAGCGTGGAGGGAAAGGCATCTTCTGGAGTGTGTTAAGAAACACGGGACAAGCTGCACTGAATATCAAATTAGGAAGAATGGCTTTTTTCTTCCTCCTCTTCTCCCTGGTGAAACCCCAAGGCATTTCTCATTCTGCTCTGAGGCACAGTGCCAGCGCCTCTTTTAACAAAAACTGTTTTCCGGCCAAGCATGGGGACCGGGAGACTCTGGTTTAGCAGAAAGTGTTCTGGTCTCAGTATTCCAGTGGGTGCCAGGCTTTTCTAAACTCCTTTACCTCCTATGACAGCAACCTACAGAAAGTCCTGGCAGGAGGACTCTGTTTTGCCCTCATTTTCCCCAATTACAGTCATTCAACCCTCTGCCCCATCTCAGACACAGGTCCCCTTCCCCTGAGCACATCCCATTTATCAGCCTGCCTTGGGGACACTTCATCCCCTTACTCCTCTGAACTTTTCACTCCCATTGGGCATCTCCACAGCTCACCATTCAAGCCATGGCTTGTAGGAAGGAGTATGAAAGCACACTGTGTGTGGAGACCTGTTCATCATAAGAAGGTATTTTACTGTGCCACGTCCCTCATCCATTTGGTCCAGCCAGTGGAAATGGGTGCAGAGCACTTCTTGCAAAGGTTCAAAGTGCCCTGTACGGATAATAAGGCCAGACATCAAAGTATAAGGAAGAAAATAAATGCAAAATGTAAGGTGACACCAATGTCACAGCAGACCTGGGAACTTCTTGCATCTCAAACAAGGTGAACCCTGAGAGGATTCCCAGAGTGCTGCTTTTCCCCACCTAAAATCAGGGCAAAGATCCTGAGCACAGGGAGGAGAGGTGATGAAACACCCCAGGGACCTTGCAAGCAGCATGTTCAAGGTGGTGTGGAGTTAACAAAACTCCACCTCATTGAGGGAATTGAATATGGCAGGTGAGAAACCACAGGACAACACAACAAGCCGAGCAGGAGCCTTCAGTATCCAGATGACTTTGGCAGGAGCCGGAGCCAGCCGCAGCGTGTTGGAGGCACTGCTGCCCAAACAAGGCAGAGATGCTGCTCAGCATGCAGAACAGATGGCAAAAAGGCACAGGGCTCCTCGTGGCACGTTCAAAGCAAATCACTGAGGATTATACCAGGAAAGAGTCACTGCATCATGCCCTGCTCCTCCTGTAGGGCCACCATCACAGACCAAAGCCTCTTCTGTGCAGCTTTTACCATGGAGGAGGCTCTTGCATGACAGGAATGCAGTAGAAGGTAAATATAACTTGGTACAATCCCAAAGCTAAATTAAAATTTAACTTCAATTTGCACTCAAAATAAGTATACTTTGAGTGCTGGGACACAAATAGGATGACTAATATGAATGAGTTAATAGAAATGGAAATCACTCCCATCTGAAGTGAAAGTAAGAGCCAGAGCTTAACATACTTAAATTCTGGAGACTGGATAATTCCTGAGGATAATGATAATTAAAAAAAATCTATCAAGGCATAAATGGCAGTGTGTGCTAGGAAACAGCAAATATAAAACTATGTTTAAGAGGAGCCCATTAATCCAACTGCACTAGTGTGCAAGATTTCCTGAACAAGTTATGAAGGAACAATAATTAAAAGATATGGTGGTTAATGGAAAGCAGTATAAAATGTAGCATGGGTGTACAAAGAGAAGCTCATGCCAGACTGAATCCAATATCTTTCTTAAAAAAGATAGCTAGTTTTCTACAGGAAAAATGTGGAAAGTCTAATCTATTTGGACATCTGTAAGGAACTTGGAAATAAAACTTCATGAGGAAGTACTGGTTGGAGCTAGAAAAAAAAGGGGTGCTACAAAAAGTATTAGCAGTGAGAAACTCTCCAGGGAGCTGACCAGAATATACACATGCTGTGTTCTTGTCCTCCCATCTTTTATCATAGCACTGGCTTAATTGTTTAAGGTTAGTCTGAGTTTCTATGGTTGATGAAATTCAATTCTCACATCTTGAGTACTTAATAAGCCTACACATAAAATAAGCTTTTCTTTTTTTTTAGTAACTATTTATTGTCTTTTGAAGTAGACAAGGACAGTGGTGTGTATGTCCTTAGCTTCAGGAAAGTTCTGTAGACATTTTATGTTCTAAACTCTCCAGTTTCTAGTGTTCCCCAAGCCTATATTCCTCTCAGCTGCAGCCCAGCTTTGTTTCTTCACACAGTTTCAGCCCATCCTCTGTCCTCTGCAAACTCAGTCACATCACTGCCTATGATCTGGTGTGGAAGAGAGGAGGCTCAGACACTCCATCTCCAGCTTTACACTGTAGATACTCCTGCAGCACCAAAGGTGGGCATCAGGCACGTGCAGATCCCCTGCCCCACAAGGACCAGCAGCACTGAGCTGTGGTTTAGAAAAACACAACCACTGGCAAGGGAAAGGACCATTCTTGTGCCACCTGAGAGGGAAACACAGTGTTTATGGCTGGCAATCAGCACAGTCCCAGCACTGCTCAAAGCCAGCCTACTGTGGGGAAGCACAAAGAGCCATTTCCCTGGGCCATGCCTGCAGAGTGCAGTAGCAAACAGGAATGACGTGGCTCTGGACCTCAGCTGTCTGTGCTGCCCTTTGGGAGACTTTCTACAAAAGCACCTTGCAGGAGCACAATCCCAACCTGAGCTTTCCCCAGGCACAGGGACTCTTCAGCTCCAAACTTCCCCCCAAACCCACCCCATGTAAGGTTATTAAATGAATGTGACTCAAGTGCTACAGAGAGAAAAAAAAAAACCAATATGAAAATTCCTGAGAAGCCAGTGCATAATTTTCCCATCTCCAAGCCATAATGTGGCAGTGCTAGGAGGTTTCCTATTTTGGAAACATCAGGCAAGCACATTCTGTCTCCATCCCAGCATGTCTTAATCAAAAGCATCCTGATCTCAGGTTCAGCAGCTATTTGCAGGAACAACCAGCAGCACACAAATGATCAGAGAGATTACAGAAGAGAGGAGTCCTGCACCAAGAAGCCTTAGCAAGGTCTCCTACCCTTTCCAAACATGTCTTGGTGCCTTGGTATCTCCATACACTGCTGCAGGAACCAGAGAGGAACAGCACAGTCAAGACGTGAGCATTTTGGCCAAACCAGACTGTCCAGGGCATCACTCATTCAAGGATGCTGAAGATAATTTGGGTTAATTACACTGTGGCTTGTCTATCAGCCTTTGGGTAGAGTGGAGAAAGTGGGAGAGATATTGGGAACAGGGTGGGAAGGTGCTGAACCAGCCTGGAAAGCATCTGTAAAGAGCAACAGTGTGTAAAATCAGAAGTTGGCTTTCTATAGGGAGACAGAAGAAGATCCAGTCCTGATGTAATTTAAGGTTTAACTGCTTTAAAGAGATTCAGGCATGCAACAATTCACAGCTCTGCCCTCCCTGAAACCAAAGGTTCAGACATTGTGAAATGGAAATCAGTGTTGATGAGCCAGAGCTCCCTTTTCATTACAGAAATAATGAATAAACAGCTACTCCTCACAAAAGGCAATAGAAAACTTTACAAGACC